CTGTGCTAGGCCAGGCTGGATTGGACTGTACTGGACTGTACTGAGCCACACTGTGCTTTGCTATGTTGTCCTTTATTGTGCTGGGCTGGACTGTCCTCTACTGTACTGCACTGCACAACACTGTGCTTGGCTATACTGTCCTATAATGCACTGGGCTAGGCTGTGCTGCCGTGTCCTGAATGCCACTAGGCTGAGCTGTGCTGTACTGTACTGGGCTGGATGGTCCGGCACTGGGCTGGGCTCTGTTGTACAGAACTGCACTGGGCTGGGCTCTGTTGTGCAGGACTGCACTGCGCTGCAATCATGATCCCAGATCCCTCATGCTACAGGGTGAGCAACAGGAAGAGGCAGGAGAGAGGAGGCGCGTCACTCACCCAGGTCAGTCATGGTTCCTCCCTTTACTGGGGCCGACTCGGAGTCTTTCTTCGTATTGACTGTGGGGGACAGAGAGGCAGGGTGAGAGGCATGGAATCTGTATCCCAAACTCTGAACCCTGAATCGTTAAAAGCAAAGCAAAACTGGATACCTGTTAACAGATCAGGCTAATAATAATTACATACACTTATATAGTACTTTCCTAGACACTCCACCCAAAGCTCGTTAGAGGTAATGGAGACTTAAATACCCTCTGCTCATGCAGAACTTTCTATCAATATTACAACTGATTGGCCACTACAGTAAAACAGCTATCAGTACGAAAGGAAACTGATCTGCCCCATGGGGATACAGCTGATCTAACATCGCTCAGTTTGATGACTGACACTTCTGCAGCAATGCAGGGACAGGTGTGCTTCCCAGTGCAAACACCAGGGGGCGCAGTACCGTTCTTGGGCAGAGTGACCTCTTCCACTGCGGGCACAGGTGAGGGCTCATCCAGATCCTTGGTCAGGTCCTCCTGTTCCTCCTCGCGGTGCCCGCGTTTCGACTTGGCATAGGGGGCTGTTGGGCTGGGGAGGGAGGGGTGCAGGGGTCACTCCCACAACAATACTGACGGACACATGCATACACACTGACAGTGACACACCTGCTAGTACACGCGCTGACGTGTTAATCATGCTAATACACACGCTGACACTCTAGTACGTACGGCTAAACACTGATCCCAGCCCTCGCCCCGACACACCCCGATGGAAACAGGGCGGATCCTGTCAGCTCACCAGTTCGCATGACGACCTACAGTCTGGAGACTGTGCAGCACAGAGCCGTCAGCTCTGGTCCCCAGTGAAAAGAGCCTGTGTGGCCACCGGACACTGGCCACTAGCCACCGGACACTGGCCAGCGCCATGTCCCCCCACACCCACAATCCACCACAGGCCAATACTGCAGCCACACTGAGCTGATGGAGCGCCATCTAGTGTTCTGTCAGACACACCTGACTGCTGCATAGTGTCTCTTTGAACGGGTCACCGAACACGGATGGCTGGGTTATCGCCACCAGCGGTGTAACTGGCCGAGGCGCCGATTCGCCAGTGCCCCCCCACCCCGGCCCCCGCACCCTTTCTTGGCGTTCTTCTTCTTGGTCTCGGGCGTGGGGGTGGGCGAAGGGGAGGGCGAGCGCTTCCTCTTCTTGGCGTTGCCCGGCTTCCTGTCGCGGCGCTCGCCGTCGGGGGGGCTGACCTCGTCCGTCAGCGTCTTGGCGGAGATGCGCTTGCGGCGCGGCCCCTCCCCCACCTCGTAATCCTCCTCGTTCATCCACTCGTTGAAGGAGTCCAGGTCCAGGATCCACTTGGCGTGGACCTGGGAGAGTGGGAGGGCAGGGCGCGCGTCAGCACGTTTCTGTGCACGGCTGTTTCGGCCTGTCGGCACTCGGGAGAGCAGCGGTTTGCTGGGATGTCAAGCGACGGTTTGGGGTATCAGCGTCTGGGGGTGTCAGTACCTTGCGGGGTTTCTCGGGAGTGGGTGGATCCTCCACTGCAGCCTCCACTTCGCTGGCGGGGATCCAAGTGTCATAACTGGAAAACAGCACAGGGCAGTAAAGACGGGGCGCAGTGCGGAAAAGACAGGGCGCAGCGCACAGCATGGTGTGGTAAAGACAGGGCACAGCATGGTGTGGTAAAGACAGGGCGCAGGGCACATCATGGTGTGGTAAAGACAGGGCGCAGCACACAGCATGGTGTGGTAAAGACAGGGCGCAGCGCACAGCATGGTGTGGTAAAGACAGGGCGCAGCACACAGCATGGTGTGGTAAAGACAGGGCACAGGGCACAGCATGGTGTGGTAAAGACAGGGCGCAGGGCACAGCATGGTGTGGTAAAGACA